CTGCAACGCACAGTGCAGGCAGAACGTCTATGCACCTGGCTGGTGAACGACAGAGTGAGTAGCAATAGCCGTTTGCGCAGTGGAACTTTCTTCTATGTTCGGGATCGAGTTGCGCAGTAATGCTGGGCTAACCTGACAATGAGTGGAGTCGGAAGCCATATTCTTACGACAGGTGCTATTTGCTTTCAACGTTAGAGTTGATTTATTTACGGTCAAAGTGTCATCTAGGTCGATCTGTGACAACGTTCGGACCGTCTCGTCAAAGGTAACGTCGCGTGGGTTCCTCGGTAAGATGAAGTTGGTATAGCGTTGGTGTTCGAGCGTACCAAGTTTGCGAAGAAGCAGCCGGACCTTCCACGCGTCGTCCTGGCAAGCCAAGTCAACGACGAACAGGTCCTCGTACCGTTTGTACCAAGATTTGACAGTTATTCCGGTCTTGGCGTCGTACAGGAATTCGCTGATGCTGCTAACCACATGGTCCATTGACTGAGAATTGGCGCTTGGACCTGCGTGAAGGGAAGAACTGGAGAGCTTTTCGGTTAAGACGGACATAAACTTAAGTTGTCGCTGCAGCATCAGCTTTAAATCGGCGTATTCGTCAGTCATTGTTTGTCAGCTCTGTAGCCACGGTTATAATTGAGCGAGCGTGTGAACGATCCTAGCCGTACGTGTTCGGATGGACGCTGAGCCCTCGGAACGGACGCACACGAGGGTGGGTTACGATAGGCGCGCGCTAATGACTTAGCCTCGAACGCTGGCCAGCTAACGACTCACACGCAATCACATGACCCGACCGACTCCCAAGTAAGGCGAAGAGGAACGAAAGACAGGCGGTCCTCTGAAGGCTCCTATACGACCAACAAAGGGCGAATCACAGCCAGTGCTATGGGTCATTATGTAAGGGAAACTTTCTACCATGACTTGGCGATACTTTGTAAAAGGCCATTGTCAAAAAGTGCGTAGTTGAGCCGCGTCTCGGAGTGTCTGATCACTGCTACGTTGTGGGGAGGAATTGGATCACGCTTTCCACAGCCATTCTGCCTGGGTTTCTGGCGCGTTTTTGCGGGGATTTTTGATGGGCCCGCAACAGTCTTTCTCACTTCTTGGACGGATTTGCCTACACATTACGGAGAGTATGATCTATTGCAGCTAGAACAAGTTACACTGATTGTAAGGACTTTCATGCAATTGTCTACGAAGCATAAGCGATGTTGAACTATTGGAATAATTCTACTGATATATGCGGTCACGGTCAGTAATGGAACAGCGAACTAGGAATGACCGGAGATGGTGGTGGTATGGTGTAAAGATTCCACAATAACAAGATGGAATGCAGCAACTGAATGTACACTACAACAGGGGTAGCAAGAGGACAGAGATACTGACGCACCGTGTATGACTTCGCTTCACTTTTCGTTGCGTGGCAATCGGCGCTGGTTTGAGGTCAGAGAGGTCCGACGTGTAGCGTCCAGATGAGTCACACATTCCTTAGTCTGGATAGGCAACGTACGTGCTATCGATCCAGCCGGTAAGTGGATTTGCAGTAATGCAGCGTAGGATTGAGGCAAAGCAAGATGACTTGGTCCAAGGGTGGACCAAATGGACAACTATCGCTTTGTGCACCGACTAGAAGAAATGGTAGTAAAATGTTCAGGTGACTCTCAAAAAGATCTTTAAAATAAGACCACAGGAATTCTTGTAAGACGAGGGGAAAAATAAATTCTCCGATAAGATTCAAACACAGTTGACTTCGAAATTGCAATAGCACAGTTTGCTGGTGATCTGCGAATGACAGATCCAAAAGATAAACAGTGCTGGAAGGGGCTCGCGGAGCCAAGTCGAATGATAGCACCTAGGTCTCTGTGAGAATAAATCCGAAGATTTAAAGACGAATAACGCAGGAGGACACTTTTTTGCGACCGCTCGGTAGACAGCTGCAACCCCGACATCTGCTTGGTCAGAGGCAGCGGCCTCTGTGTCTCCGGAAAGGCGCGAGTGGTGTTTTACGTCGGTTTGCCAGATATATTTCTGATGACGGTACTGGCGCCTTGCAACCTGGTTTCGGAAAGGCAACAGCTATCCACCGAGAGTGTCTCAAGAGTGCGGGTCAGGCATGCTTGTCTTCCGATCTGCATCAGAGTGCGCACATTGCATCATGCAAGGCCTGAATGGAGAACCTGGACGAAGGAAAGCTTGGACTTCGGTTGAGTGTGAGGGTGTTGTGACCCCCGGACAACGAACACGGAAAGTTTGGCTGAGAATTCTATCAGATGCGACCAGTGCTCTATTGTTGACGGTGACCGGGGAAGACATAGGTGCAGTTAAGGTATAGTGCACCTTTTTAATTGTACTACACAACCTTACGGTCAGCTGATAACATTACCGGCTGTATCGACTATATTTTCAAACACCTCATACACTTCATCATCGACCAACATTCCTTTTTGAATCGCCGGCTGACTCTAGACCACCTCGTGTACAACAACTCAGCCCGAACACTAACCTTCTCGGTAATAGTTTAAAGCTGAGCCAACAGTACAGTCGTCTAGACTGTCGGAGAACCTATTTCTCCCTCCGGGTTTGCGGGCCCTGGAACGCCCTTCCAAACTCAGCTATTTGTGCCCCCACATTAGATACGTTTAAAAAACGATTGGACATCGCACTGAGCGCCATGCGCTTTGTTTTATGAACGAAAACGCTTGTATATATTTAGGCTGACCAGCCTCTTTGGATTTATACCCCAAATTCACGGTCGTAAATCTGTGCGAACCGGTGAGTACTCTATTTTTATTTGCTACCATCACCAACGATAACAATTTCTTAGCCAGTTTTGCGTCGTACCACTTTATCCCCCTAAAACTGTTATACTTCTACCTTTTATCTCACTGACGCTCCTTACTTCAACCACTTATGTGGTTTGCCAATTTGTTAGTATTTCTATTGCCAACCTGCGAGACTCGTTAAGTGTATGCTTTTTTACCCGTCATATACCATTGTTCCATTGTTCCATTGGACTGAGAGCCCCAAAGATACAACCATGGGAATACACGTTTTCAGTCCCTTTTGGCATCCAAGAATGACGGGTTATTAATCCAGGAACTCCGCAACCTAAAAAGCGTTACCACAATACTTGTTGACTAAAACACTATAAGTGGAGACGATAAGTGGTTGACCCGACGTGAGTTCGGATATTTCAACTCAGCAAACATCATCCGGTGAGTCGTATCCAATTTCGTCATACTTCCACCATTTCATGTATGCTGGGAGCCCCACTTATCGTGTCCACTTATCGTCTCCACTTATAGTATTTTGATCAACACGTATTGTGGTGACGCATTTTAGGTTACGGAGTTCCTGGATTAATAACCTGTCATTCTTGGATACCAAAAGGGATGGAAAATGTGTATTCCAATGCTTGTATTTTTGGAGCTCCCAGTTGTTGTATACGAGGTGGTCTAGAGTCAGCCGGCGATTCAAAAAGGAATGTTGATCGATGATGAAGTGTACGAGGTGTTGAAAGAATAGTCTATACAGCTGGTAATGTTATCAGCTGACCGGAAGTTTGTGTAGTAAAATGTGAAAGGTACACTACCACGGAACGGGAAGCGGGATGATCTCTGAGCGAATGTTAAGCAGCAGAGACCGTAAAGCCAGTAGACATAGCAAGTGAGCAAGCAGTAGTGCAATCCATTCATGGTTCTTCAATGGGCGTGATACTACCCGATTGCCCAGGCCGAAGTAGAGGATTTTCTTAAGGGGCCCCACCCCGAGCCTTTGATCCAGGATCTAAACTACAAGGCAGCAAGGCGATATGAGGGTATCGCAACCCGTTGGGAGCCGGTGATCAGGGGTCTAACGCACCCTTGAATTACAATGCCGCTCAGAGAGAGGTAAGGGGCAGTGACTTTATTTAATGGTGAGTCACATCCGTCATGTCATAGTGTTGTTAAACGAATATATGTAGCTTTTTATAGGGAGAACGTTTGCCAGGCGAAAACCCGCCACGTCCTGAAACACTGCCGCCGAACCGTTCACTTGGACGCGATGATCCCGAACCACCCAGCTGACACCACGCGCAGGTTGTTCGCCAAGCCAGTCATTTTACTGTTGAGTAACTTTTGAAGAGTATCATGCTCTCATTTACACTCTGCATTATATGAGGGAATCGTATCATCTGATAATTGTTATTATGATCCCGAATGAGAAGTCTGATCTTATAATGTTACCAAGTAACCTTCTGGAACAGCATTATTTGCATTCAGGCACAGATCTACAAGAATTTCTTAATCTGTCTCACTACTTTGTTCTTTCAACTAACGGTACGGCAATGTCCACATCACTGGACCAGTATTGTTTTTGATCTGGCACATGATGGTAACCAAACAAAAATGAAAGCCTCATGAATGCCTTCATTTGTTCGATATCCACAGGCTTCATTCCTCTGTGCTTTTGTTGGATGTGTAAGTTTGTTTGCAAACTTAACTTTTCAGTAGCACAATCAGGTGGTATTTCCGTGAGAATAATATCAGCTACTGTGTTCTCTGCCACAAAATGCTGTAGTACTGGGCCCACTTCTCTTGTACAATATGGCAGACTGTTTGATATTGTTGTTTTATTCCATTTCCTTTCATATTCAAATATAGCGGCACATCACTGTTACCGAAGTAACTTTCGGCAAGTTGTATAAGTCCAATTTTGAAGTTGTACATTCGTTTGAAATTCTCAACAACATGCAGCATCATCTTTGTCCAGTTCTTCATGAGAACTGCTCTTACTTTGTGTATCTACATCCAGGGCTAGATCTCCAGAGCAGCCTGTATCTCTTCCTCTGTAAAGTATCGCTTATAATGTCATTACTACCTACGAAATAAAAATTTCAATAGATACTCGTATGACAACATATGTATATACAATACTAAAATGAAGGTGTTGATAACGGTTAATTATATTGCTTTCTGGTACAAGAATAAAGTGTTGAATCCCTAAATTTTTCATCCTACACTCATCGTTACGCCCAGTCAAGTTTCTAACTGTTAATATGCTTGCGGTGTAGAACTGCTCTCTGGTAACATATCTTTTGGACCAGTATGCTACAGATTATGCATAGACTTGTAAATTAAAACACAGAATTATGTTATGTCCACTACATAAAATAATAACCTGAATAGGACTTCCAAACTGCAACAAATCCAACTCAATTTTAATAAATAGTGCAACCAATTATAGTGCTCTAATATGTGCTTACGCTAGACATGAAATACCTAAGTTAACTGTACACGCTAGGGAGCAAAGTATCAGAGTTCTGTTCATTTGCCAATTATTAACAGCAGGCAATTCTACGTGTTCCCGCGTGTACCGTCAGAACAGATGTTTGCATTTTGGCAATATTATCATTTCAACAAAGATGTACTAATCAGTACTGCCAGGATACAAGAGGTTAACGTATAACCCGGTGTGTTATTGTTTGGTCAGTGTAAGGCTAACCATTATGAACGCAGTGTGTGTAAGCAAAATGAGTCCAAATGATGTACGCACGTAAAATCTGATGGTCATGCTAAGTACAATGCCTAGACGCGTTTCTTCTTGATGCTTACTTCCGGTTTAGTCAACCTTCTGAGTATCGCAAGCATTTACAGTTTCATTCAATGATTCTGTCTAGATGCTATTTTGCATACGATCTCAAAGGCACTCTTTTGCTATTTCGCTAATAGATAGAAAACAGTTGCTTGCTTTGAACTCATAGCTTACGCTTCTGTGAAACCTCTTTTTTTACAGATTCTGTTCCAAGTAGTCACCTATTTCGGAAGCCCGAACTCATAGTAGCCCGTTTGTAATCGCAGTGTCCTCAGCAGCCTCGTGTGTTATATTTTTTAATGGCTTTCGCACCGACTGATCTGTCTATACTGTACTTTCAGTGAGTTGTGAAGCGAACAGCCAGATTCATTTTCTTTGTTACTCATGGACTGTCAGAATGCACCCTGTTTTCGTGTTATTGTCTGTTTTGTTTGGGCTGATGCACCCACTCATTGATTGCTTGCCTCATGGCTTTGATTATGGCACTGGAGTTAAGGCGAGACGATCAACATTTCAGGCAAGATTCAGTTGTAGGTTTTGGATCTCACGACTGGACAAGGAGGAATCCGAACGTCATGTGCTTATCAAATGACTGTCTCCGCAAGCTTAACTCAGCAGTTCAGACTACTTTTTCGCTGGAGTTCGCCTTTCTATTAAAGTTCTTACTGCACGCTTGATTCTTCTAATCTTCTGTTAATTTTCGCAGCAACTCACACGCATAGCATGAAACTTTGCAGTGAGTGTGCACTTTTGACAAAATCCTGTCTTTGTGGTCATTTTTACTCTCCATGTGTGTTACACTGGCGGTGACGACAGTGGTTTTGTGTTGAACAGCACTTTGTTGTGTTTGGTTTGTTCAACATGCGCTCACGTGCACAATTACACGGAAAATGTCTTAAGATGGTTTACTTGTGCTAACTTGGGTCTCCAGCATACATCTATACAACATTTAACTCGGGATCTTCGTCAACTCACATTCAATATTTTGTTTGTCGTTTTACTCGACAAAGTACGATCCAGCTCCAGTTAGACCATCGATTTGGTGTCCGGAATACTGTTCCTGTGCTTGGACACCCTTCCATCTGTTCATCTCGGAGAAGTGGCCCGAATACGCCGCTACATGCTACATGCAGAATAGCTTTTCAGTCTTCCTGTTTGCCTGACCAATTGCACTGTGGCGGATGTTGTGACGGGATGGAGCACACAAGTTCAGTGATCTGGGAATTCCGATTTAATCAGCCGCTCACCTGGTGTTTCAGCGGATAACACTACATTAAGTACCAGTTTACTCGAACGTTTAAAGTAATCCAGCCAGACACGTTACTACGTCTAGCCGATTGCATTCATTTTGATACGAATGTGGGTGAATCCGCTGCCCTAAATGATGACTACGTTTCTCAGAACCCTGGTCGCGATGTGTTGGGTTTCCCCTCATCAATCTGTTGAACTGTTATCATCCTTTGAGTGTGGAGACTTTATCTTCTTATTCATTTCGTTTGGATACTTTATTTGAAGAGCATTCACGACTTATTGCACCTGTTGGGATACTTGTTGTTTATCGGGCGTGGCTTCAATCGAGGCTCGCTATGATGAAATAAAAATCATCTCTGCATGTTCTGGCGGCAGCAGTTTCGAAGGCACATTTGACCTGTGCGACAGCAAGCCACAGTTCGAACATTTCGTCTACACTGCTAATGACATCGGTTCTAGCTGGTCTGAGTGTCAGGGACCTTGCAGTATCCTAGCACGAACGAAGCCACCTGTTGCGTCTGAATGGCAGTGACGCGTCGATACGGATCTCCGGCATTCACAAGTGGTACCTTTGTTGGACGAGGCTCCGCATTGATCATGAATGAATGCATTGTGATGCGTCATCTCCGCAATGCAAATATATGTTCACCTTGCACTCTTGCTGATTCGTACATCACTTGGCGAGTTCATCTTCTTTTCGGATTCCTTACGCATATTGCCAGTTGCTCCATTTCCTATCTAAAGCATGTTGCTTCCTAGCAACATTCTACTTCGATTGGGGATTGTTTCAGACTAGGAAACGTTCGAACGGTCCAGCTTGTTGTTCATTTCTGCTCCTCGGCATATTACTCTTACTTGGTCCAGTTTTAACACATCTGTGCACTCATGTGTGTAAACGACGGCTCCACATTTTTCATATTTTACCCTTGAGGTGCACATCGCCCAGTTCGCTACTTTGTAATTCTGGCCATGTTAAAATGGACGCGGTCCTGGTTATCTCGAACTTCGACGACCTTCATTCTGCTTTGCAATCACTGTGCTGTGTTCTATGTTTGAACGGTACACAACTGTGGACTGAGCACCTTGCCAGCTACCACCTACATTTGCGATCTGTACGCATTTACCGCTGTCATCTTATAGCATTGAGCTTTCAGATGTATTTCTATGTCGTTCCACTAGATGCTGTTCTCAAGTAGTCACCAACCGATGTTCGTCTCGAAATAGGCTTTCACAGCCACTGATCATCTGGTTGACCAGCTGCATTTAATTTATCGGAACTTTTCAGTTTTTGCATCGCATCACTGACAGTGGGGAGCTTATACTTTCTGTTATGAATTTTTTTGTAGTAATCCCCACACACCGTACCCCAGGATTTATTAGCCGATCGCTTGTTCATCGGCCTCTCAGGACAGTTCTCAAACAGAGTTCACGAAACACATTTAACAGTTACTTTTCGATATTTAGATGTTAGCAACCTATTGGCAACTCATTGACTTCCGTTTGCATCTTTTACACAACACGAAACCAAAATTTTCGGGTCCCGTTTACATTTGTTGTTCCTAAGTGGCGCTGCCATTCGATCACAGCGTAACCCACATTTCACGTGTGCACACGATGCGCATCACGTTGATTGATGGGATGTTGCAGCATGTGCTTTTGAGCAGCTTCTATCACTTTGAGATACTCGTTGCCGCAACCAGTGTCCCCGATAATTTTAGCCCTTTTGGCCCCTTCATAGTTGGATTTGGTGGTCATGATCATATTGTGTGTGATGGTTTGGCTCGAGCTGAACTTGTTCCATCATCGCTGGCGTCTCCAACAGTTGTATTTGGCACTACGCGTCTTACATAAATAGCTGCATCATCATTCCAGGTTGTTCGTTGTTTGCCGTGTTACGAAGCAGAAGCCTTACTCTGAGGCAGCAGGTAGGTTGTCCTCTGGTTTCCGAAATCGTGATGCATACCTCATGTTACATCGGCTGTGTTACCCATGAAATTCAAGTTGGACTTCATGTTCATCATGCTAAGAAGCTACACATATCTGAACACTGGAAAGAAAAACTGCGGTGGATCTGATGCTCAGTTCGTCAATACTAATCCGCTGTCCTTATGAGAGCCAGCGCCTCACGGGTCGCCCTTATATGTTCCCCCGCAAGTCGTTCAGTCCGAATTTGCTATGTGTTCCTGGCACGAACCGCCTTTACACTGGATTTGATACTTTTCCTGTGTCCACCTTGTCAATCGTTTTCTTCTTATGCGCATGACCTCTTATTTGATCTCGGTCGCTTTCTCTTACACTGAGCAGATATAACCCTTGTTAACTGGTAGCCTGCCTTTTGTTCTCTTCTGTAACCCCCCATGCCTGTCTGCTGGTCTAGTTAAAGGAGCCCGCACACAGGTCGTTGCAACCTGAGCGGAAGGTCACTTCGGATTTGCTCGGTAGCTTTACTCTTGCAGTATATAGGCACACGTACCTTGAGTTCTGTATTCGTTACATTCGGCGACCGATGCACACGACTTTGTTGTCTAGCGCACGGAAGTTACTGGGACTGTCGTTTTCCGATTTATTCATTAGATGAACTTTACACCAGGTTTCTGTTGAAAGTGTTCGTTTTCTCGTCTTGAATCTTTATTTTGTGCTCAATAAATTGACTGCCGCTTGTCTCACCTCCGGATTGTATATTTACTTTCTGTGCTCAATGTGCCCTCGTGATGGTCGTCACATGGGCCAGTTTTCCAAACATCACCGGACCTCTAGGGGTTTCCCTATGACCATTACAGAACTGCTTGTGAATTATTGGTTCCCATTTGCCATAAGACTCCTGCATTTTACGAGAAACACAGTGGAAGCCGCACAAATTCTCACTTTGTTCAGTGCTTATCTGTTTTTGGTGATCACATGTACGTGGCCTTTGCTTTTTCTCATTTTGCCCACTACACTCCAATAAATTATCTGTTGTAACAGAACTGATGAAGCCACTGGAATGTTGCTTTATTTCACCGTTTCTCTTTTTTCCGGGACATGTGTTTGTCTGTCAGACGACATCTATCTATTCTTTGTCAAGTGTTGTATTGGTCTTAATGTGTTTCCCTCTATGAAACAGAATCAAATCATATTGTGATATCTTGCGTGTCTTTTTGTTGCATTTGCTAGTCTGGACAGCGGCTGCCACTACGTCGGTCAGTGTCTAGAGCCCCCAAATTGAAAATTGTACTCGGTGCGACGTATGAGTCACTATCCCAAGTCACATGTTCACATCCGGCATTGACTGTCCCTACATGCGTGCGTATATGTTTGCTTATCGATTACCTACTCGCCATTGAATTAGCTTCAGCCACTTGATCGATGCTTTGTACACCTTTTTGCC